CCCCAAAACCCCAAAACCCCAAAACCCCAAAACCCCAAAACCCCTTTTAACCAAACCAGAATTGATACTAAAATCATTATTTTCTTAGATTGAGTTAGAGAGACTTGGTGTTTGGAAGAATTCCCTGAGATCTCATGGATGCTTTATTATAAGTACTCTCCTTCTTAGTAACCTGGTTTACAAGGATCAAAATAGCAATCATTTGAACAAACAGGTTTCCAAAATGAATAAACTTCAGCCTCATATGAGGGTTCAGGAAATATGAGCACAGCCAGAACATTGGGAATGAAAGCATGTAAGCCGAAGCTGAAATTATAAAACCTTTGATGAACTTCAAGTTCTTTCTAGGCACATGGTTCATTGTCTCTCTGATTTTTAATAAGAAGTATCCAAATATACCAACTCTTAGTGAAACTAGCAAAAGACCTTGGAATCCTTCAAAATCATGATACTTATACCATTCACCATTATCAATGACAGAGAGAAAACCGATGAAGATGTGAACCCCAAAGACAGCTCCAAGCTCCATCTTGAAATAGTCCTTCTCTGCTAAATTTCCAAAAGTAAGGGTCCATCCTTGTGAGATCATTATCATCAATGAGATCAAGCTAATTTGAGCTAGAATGGAAAATATTGTGTGAAGATCATCAAATATCCAAATCCCTCTGCCATCATATGAAAATCAGATAAGATGAAGAACTCCCAGAACTAGCTGCAAGAATTCCAAAACTATTGCAACTAACAACGGCGTCAAAGGGGTTTGATACTCTTCCTGCTTCTTGATTTCAGAATATAATTTCAAAGTTGTCTTCCCCAAAAGATAACTAAATACAAGCAAAGCAAATACAGTTGTTGGGAGGACTCCCCAGTACTCGTGAGAGAAATGGGATTCATCATTAGTCATTTCTAATTCAAAATCAAGAGCTTTCATATCATATCCTCCGATGCTGGTCTCTCTGTTGCAATCGCAGAGAAGCATGTACCATACTTGAGGTCTATTAATGATTCTAACTCTGCTTTGTTCCCATCTGGTCCATTCCCCGTCATTCCTCATGTGAATCAAGACATTAAATCTGGCTAGCTTCTTTTTATTCTCACATATATCGGTCTCTAAGGCCATATCCCACTCAGCATCATTCATCAAGAGTAGGTGAATGTTGACATAGTCAAGATTATGGTGTTGTTGGTATCTAGTCCTGACTTTCACGTGCAGAAGACTATCCTTGTTCACTGCGAATCTTGCAACGTACTTTGTATTCGACACTGTATCAATACTGGTTGAACCCTCTACAAAGGCTCAATCTATCCCTGGACTCAATAGAAAGCAAAACAGCAATGTTGCTATAAAAATTGTTCAAGATTTGCCAACTCTGGCTCCATTCTTTTCCATTCTCCAATTTATTATCTTGGTAAGGGGTTTTGGGGTTTTGGGGTTTTGGGGTTTTGGGG